GCCGGAGCCTGCCCCGAGGCATTCGAGGGGGCGCTCCGCTCAGGACGACGGGTTGTCTAGCCCCGCACCCCGAGTTGCCTGAGCGAGCGGTCGATCCACAGCGCGCCGATCTTTTCCTGCACGGAGTTCTGGCGCAGGCGCTGGCGCAGGTTGGCGAAGTCGACGAGGTCGAGGCGCTGGTCCTGGTTGAAGCAGGAGAAGACCACGGTCTCCTTGCCGGTCTCCGGGTCCCTGTGGAGCTGCAGGCACTGGGCGCAGATCTCCTTCATCATGCATTGCATGGGGGAGTTGATCGAACCGAAGGCCACGTGTTCTGGCTTGAGATACGACTTGAGCGCCGCGTGCCGCGCCAGGCGCACGGCGTTCATCATGCCGTCCGAACCGATGGCCACGATGCGGTCGGCGGCGCTGTAAGGGATCGGCTGGTCGCCCAGCTCGCCCGAAGCATACTGGCGCATCGCCTCGACGATGTTGATGACGACCGACTTGTCCTGCGGCCGGCCGGGCGCGAAGCCGGGGGCCTCGTCGCAGCACCAGACGACGACATCGGCCGCCGCCTCGATCTCCTCGACCTTGTAGCGGTCGATCATCTTCTTGTAGCCAGCGAAGTACAGCACCTTGCTGCCGGCCTTGCGGAAGGCCTGCCCGATCGAGAACAGCACGGCGTTGCCGAGGCCGCCGCCCACCAGCACCACGGTCTCGCCCGGCTCGATCTCGGTGGGTGCGCCCGTCGGCCCCATGACGATCACCGGCTCGCCCGGCTTCAGCATGGCGCAGAGGTCGGATGAGCCACCCATCTCCAGCGCGATCAGCGACAGCAGTCCCTTCTCCTTGTCGACCCAGGCCCCGGTCAGCGCGAGGCCTTCCATGGTGAGAAGCGTGCCCTCGGCGCGCAGCGAGCGCGCCTCGTAGTTCTGCAGCCGGTAGAACTGGCCAGGCTCGAAGTTGCGCGCCGCGGCCGGCGCCTCGACGATGACCTCGATGATGGTGGGCGTCAGGCGGTCGACGCGGCACGACACGCGCGCGCCACGCGCGGTTGGCCTCGCCGAGGATTTCCGCCGGCGTGCGCTTCGGCAGCGGCAGCGCGGTCATCGAGCGCGTCAGCACCGGATAGCCCTGCTTGGCGCCGCCCATCGCCTTCACGACATTGCCCGCGAACGAAGGATGCAGGTCGCCGAAGAACGACATGAAGCGGTTGTCGGCGTGGCGATACATCAGCACGCGCACGTCGCCGGGCTTGCAGACGCGCTCCGGCGTCGCCGGATTGCCTTCCTCGTCGAGGGCGCGGAAATACTTGCCGTCGATGAAGGCGTGCGTCGCATCCTCGCGCGCCAGCACCGTGTTGGGCTGCGTGCCGGCCGCGACGAGGATCGTGCGTGCCGGCAGGGTCGCCTCGACCTTCGCGCCGTTCTGCTCGCCGGCAACCTTCAACGCCTTCGCCTGCCCGGCTTCGTCGATCTCGACGGCGACGGGCGACAGGC